ACAAGTGGTGGGGACCCTTACTTAAGTGGAAAAAATGTTAGTGTGTCAGAAGCAGGGCACAGAGAACAGTTTATGTCCTCTTCGAGTAATAGACAACCAGTTCAAACTTCCAAACCAAATCAAGAATGTCACATTGAGATTCAAATTGGTCCCTGACTACTGACCACAAACAGTATATGGTAAAGACACAGAGAACCAAGGAACAGTAAGATTAAACACACACACTAATTCACCTATGACTTAGCCAAGATCACAGATTTTTCTTGCTGGAAAGATTGCTAAGGAGCTGACTTTGGGTCTCCTTCTAGAATGGTTCCTAAAAAGAACTAATCGAGAGAAAGTAGTCCAAGAGGTACTACACAAGAGAGCAGTCAGATACATCCTTACCAACTAGCAAGGCCAACTTACACTGGAAACTTTGGTGCAGATTGAGTATCTCTTATTTGAAATGCCTGAGACCAGAACTGTTTCCAATTTCAGATTTTGGAATATTTGTATTATACTTACTGGTTGAGCATTCCAAATAAAAAAATCTGAAATCCGAAATGCTCCAATGAGCGTCTCCTTTGAGCATCATGTAGGTGTCAAAAAGTTTTACATTTTGGATTTTGAATGCTCAACCTGTATAACAGGAATTGGTCGAATCTTATAAAAACGTTTTAGCCAGGTGTAAGGTGATGCGCACCTGTAATCTCAGCTTCCTGGGAGACTGAGCTGGGAGAATTGCTCAAGGCCAGCCTAAGCAACATAGTGAAACCCTTATTTTAATAACATAAAGAAAGGAAGAAAAGCTAAACTGTTCTAAGCTAAGTTAGCTTAAAATAAACGGGGGGTGGGGGGTTCTCTATGGGAAAGCAAGCAAGCCAATTATAGGAAGAGAGAAATGCTCTAAGAATTATTTATACACTATTTTGGCACAAGATGAAAACTCATAGTATGAACCAACAGTATTGAAACGCTGGATCTTTTCCTGCTGAAGTCTCACTTTGGGCTTTGTTACCTTACAGTTGAGTTTCATTACTGGCTCCTCACCACCCTGGGCTGCCTTCCTCTTTGCCATTCCTTAGGGAATGGTAGTAAGTCGGTCCTTAAATATCTTTAGAGATTTTAGCAATTTGAACTATGATGCATATTAGAGTATTTGATCACTAATATGTATGAAAAAGTTCACAGTGTCTTAGGGCCAAGGGCAGGCTATAAGTATTTAGGAAGTTTAAGCATCTGTTTCCTAATCTGAGAAGTAGACAATTTATTTTAATGGTGTATTAGTCCATTCTTGCATTGCTAAAAAAAAAAAAACCCGAGACAGGGTAATTTATAAAGAAAAGAGGTTTAACTGGCTCACAATTCTGCAGGCGTACAAGAAGCACGGTAGCATCAGCTTCTGCGGAGGCCTCAGGGAACTTACAATCAGGGCAGAAGGCAAAGAGGGAGCCAACACCTCACTTGGTTAGAGTAGGAGGAAGAGAGTGAGGGGGGAGGTGCTACACACTTTAAAACAACCAGGTCTCATGATAACTCACTCACTGACTATCATGAGAACAGCACTGAGGGGATGGTGCTAACTCATTTATGTGAATTCCACCTCCATGATCCGATCACCTAATACCAGTCTCTGCCTGGGGATTACATTTCAACATGAGATTTGGGTAGGGACACAGATCCAAACCATATCAAATGGTGAAGAACAGTTTAAAAAAAAATTAATCTTGTAAACATTTAAAAATACCTGAGTCCTCAGAGTGCGTTTCTCAGGTCCTTAAAGCATATCACCTGTGGCTTGGAAGTACATCGAATTTAGGCTCCTCTTTCCTTTTCATCATTGTAAAGTCACAGAGAAAAGCCAACTTAGAGCCATGCCCACAATACAAAATCTGTTCAACAAGATTAGATTGTCTTTTGTTATTTCTTTCTTCCTTCCTTTGTCTTCATTTTATAAATGTATGCATGCACACAGCTTTTAAACAAGAGGCTAGTTGATTAGGAAACCAGTGTTGACTTGACGTAAGCAACAATCCAAAAAGTAGAAAATATTACTATTGTTTACTACAAATGTATGGACTCGAAACTAGCTTAACTGTTACTATTCCTCAGGAGAATTTATTTTTACTCAGCCTCTTCTCAGAGAAGAGTGTCTTAGAGCAAAGTTAGCAATTAGTATGCTAAAAAATCAGGTAACTGCAATACTCCCAAACTACAAAAAACTTTACACTAAACTAGTAAAGTTAAATGTCATTTTTAAAAAGCCCCTCTTACATTCTAGCCTATTGACAGGCATTGTGTTGGGAACTTGGTAGAGGAAAGAAAACTTTAAAAACATTTTAAAAGATTTGCCGACAACAAATATACCTTGTTATTTTTCTAGTATGTAATTATTACGACATTTTCCTCCCACTGATTTCTAAAGTCCTGTATACTGATACAAAAACTAAAATTGTGTGCAATTCAAGATGCTCATTTCCCTCTTTTCTAAAATAATCTTTTTTTTTTTTTTGAGACGGAATTTCGCTCTCGTTGCCCAGGCTGGAGTGCGATGGCATGATCTCAGCTCACTGCAACCTCTGACTCCTGGGTTCAAGTGATTCTCTTGCCTCAGCCTCCCGAGTAGCTGAGATTACAGGCCTGTGCCACCACGCCCGGTTAATTTTGTATTTGTAGTAGAGACGGGGTTTCTCCATGTTGGTCAGGCTGGTCCTGAACTCCTAACCTCAAGTGATCCACCTGCCTTGGCCTCCCAAAGTGTTGGGATTATAGGCGTCAGGCACCACGCCGGCTTACAATAATCTCATATTAAACAAAACAGTTGTAATACACTAGCTGGTAACTGTAGTGAAAATGAAAATGTGTATTTGTGAGAGCTGAGAACTGACACCAGATAGAGAAGAAATTATTTGATTCTAATTTTTCTTACAAAGATTAAATTGGGATTTTATAATATATAAAACCTTGACTAGACATAGAGTATTAATGAAACAGTTCTAATTCAAATTGCGTACTGTCTTTTACACTGAAGGGAACTATGATTTCAAAAACAAAGGACTTATTCCATGCTTACATGCTGAGATATTATCAGAGCTGAAATGTTAAGAGATGGTACCTGAGGAAATATCTGTATAATCTCTATACAATGACTGAATACCAGATAAAAGGCTTATTTTAAAAAGCTAGAAAAGCAATTACAAAAATTTAGGGTTCTGTGGAAATATTCGATCATGGTACGAACTCCGTTAATGATGAGTTGCCAGGAAACACTGGTTAGAAAAAGGTGGCTGAGAGAATAGCAAGGATAACCAATTAGGATTAGAACATTAGCCCTATTGATATAAAATAACTATTGACAGTAGATCAATGGTATTAAGATTACACATACTAGAACCAGACTGTCAGGCTTTAAAGTCCAGGATCGTCAGTTATGAGCTGTGTGACTTCAAACTGTATTTCTTAGGTCTCTAAGCTTCAGCTCTATCACATTGAAAATAGAAAATGACAGCAGTCATTCCAAAGCTATCTTGAATTAAATAAGATAATCCACATAAGGGGTTTAGCACAGCGCCTGGCACATAACAGCTTGCCATCACCACTACAGCAACCCTGGGCAGTCCAACTTTTTGGCTGTTTCCTTAAAGGTAACATACAAGCTTTGGACTAGATAATTTCTAATGTCTTTACCCATCTAAAATTAAAATTCTACAATGTATCAACAATATACAAGCCAACTCTATTTTCAAAGAACATAAATTCAGATTTTCACCCTAGCATGATTTAAGTACTGTAAAATAAACTTATTTTTAAGTTATCCTTTTATTTTCATTTATTCTTTTAGAGATGGGGTCTTGCTACGCCGCCCAAACTGGACTTGAACTCCTAGGCTCAAGCAATCCTGTCACCTCAACCTCTGGAGTAGCTGAAATTGTAGGACTACACCACTGTTCCTGTTATATCATCTTTTGAAATTAGCTATAATCACTACATTTATTAAAGCCAAAGTTATAGATATTCTATGTAACACACAAGAAATCCATAATCTTCCATCACATACTGTTTGGTGACTATAATAATTTCTGAATAACAAGTCCTAACAGGAATTTCAAGGTATATAATCCCCCACTATATATTTTTAAAACTATAAGAACATTTCATACCCCATACTTACAGAACAGAAAATAAAGATCATGAAAAATTTCAAATATATAATTCAGAAAAAAGGAAATAACTATTTTGAAACTGTCCATAATCTGGAGGTTTACTAAGTCTCTCTACTGATATGTAACAACTCAAAAGTCAAATTACAGGCCAGAATATTAAGTTTTTTTTTTTTTTTAGTATGACTCATAAATATCTAAACCAAAAGTCAATTTTAATATGACGACACTAACTGCACCAACCCAAATAAATCCTTCTAAGAGGGCTGTTTTTGTTTTTGTTTTGGATTTGGAGAATTTTTCTTCATATATCTTAGGGACACTATTAAAAAATTTTAAAAACCTTTCCAGTTTTTAAAAATTACTAACAGTGTGTGTGATCACTGAAAAGAGGTTAATCTAAAAATTTTAAAATATTTTTCCAGATAGTAAGATCATACTGTCAGTCAGAAAAGGGTTCGGGCTCATCTCACTCAAATACTTGCATAATAGGCTCGAAAGAATAAAAAAATTGTTGTTACTTCTTAATATGAAAAACACACACGTCTGTTAAAAACTGACAATTCAATAAGCTCTCAAACCAGAAAACACGTTTCCCAATCAACACTCATACTTATTTCTGTATTAGGAAAAATGGGATTGTTCCAGGGGTCTTTAGAAAACAAAGATTTCTCTGAAATTCGTAACTCTGTTAACTGCAACTTCATTTCCAGAAATCTTATATTTAACAAAACTCTACACTATTCATACTTAGCACAATTTCCAATCATTGAAGATATTTTAGTTTTACCTTACAACCAGTATAAAGCAGCTGTGTTAAATTCATGCCATAAAATCAAAACTATACCATGTGCTTACCCTCAATATTTAGCTCAAAACAAATGTGGCAGAAGGAGAGTGTTTCTTTGTCTGTTCCCAGTTTACAAACACTGCAAATGTTGTCATCATTCAAATCAATGTTTACAAACTGCTCCTCTTCGTTCATAGTGCCCCTATTAAGAAACAGAAAAGGAAAGTTACACAATTCAAGAACCTGCCTTTGGGGTAGTTCCTTCCCTTTTCTGGGAACTTCTAGGAAACAACGATGCTGTTCAGCTCATCTAAAGCAAAAGCTCCATCAAACAAGCATCGCCATACTTGCACTTCAACATTGCACTTTTCCTGTGGAAAGACACAAAGCTGGTAAAACTTAAAACTAGGCCATAGGTGACACTATGTCAGTGTCTTTTTTGTCCTATAGTTGATTGGGTTAAGGGGACCTGAAGGAGAGAGGTTTGCGGGCATTCTAGTCCTCCTCCTTCGTCCCCCAACCTCGAATAATCAGACACGGCTTAGCAGCGAGGCCTCTTCAGCTACCAGGTTCTGTCAACCTAGTTAACGCTGTGAGAAACAGGAAAAACGACCTGCACGGGACACTGCTTTGCTAACTTCCATTGGGGGAACCTCAGATGCGCCACGCGAACTCGGAGTTGCGAAGCTTCGCATCGAACGGAGGTCGGCGGCAACAAAATGCACTTGGGTACCGAACACCTGGGGAGGGCGTCCCGCCGTGTCTGGGGCAACCACACCGAAGGCCGAGCGGCTGATTCACGGTCCCCGCCAGGCACCGCCGGAGGGGCCCAAGCCGGAGCCGGGAGAGCCGCGGCACCCTGGAGCCCAGCGGGCGGGAGAGCCTCGTCCCATCCCTCCGGGATTCCTCCCAGAGGGAAGAAAGCGTCCGAGGGCCACGGCGGCCAGCCCGCCCAGCCTCAGGGTCTCGGGGAGCCGGGTCCTGGCCCGTTCTTCAGCGTTGGGGGCGCGCGGCCGCCCCCAGGGAGTCGCGGACCCACGTCAGTCTCTCCGTCGGTCCGTCCGTCGGGGCGCCTGGCGCGCAGCAGCGCGAGGGGCCACGGGCCTCGGAACTCGAAGGAGGCGGGACGATGGGACGGGGGATCTGGGCTCAGGTGGGACAGGAGCAGGGGTGCGGGGTCTTTACCGTCCGGCTCCGCGGGCCACCACCGCCTTTCCGCGCGGCTAGGGTTCCTCCACTATTGTTTCCGGCCGCAGCAGAGGCGGCCGCCGCGCGCCTGGCCCCGCCCTCTCCCGCCGGCGCCATCCCGTGAAGGCTGCGGGGAGGGTAGCGCGGCCGCGGGCACACCTGCGCGCTCGCAGGGCTGCTACGGGCCCGCCCCTCCGCTCCTGCACCGACGCCGCACCTTCGCCTCGAGTTCTCCTGTGATTTTCCGTGTGTCTTGGCCGGAGTTTCTTACCGTTCTCTGGAACGTAGCTCCTCACACCCCCCTCGTCGAGGTGCGTAGATAGACGAATCCGTTCCACCTCTCCCTTCAGCACAGTGCAAACTACTGCCCCGGGGCGGGGGCCGCAGGCGACGGGGGTAGGAAAACCGCGGGTGGATGGGAGAAAGGGCGAGGTGCGTGGGTGGCACTTTGACTTCAGGAGAAAGAAGCGTAATACTGTCTCTGAACTTATAGTTAAGTGCCAGTTGAAGTAACTAACGAAGGAAAAGTTCATATTCAGGTGTCATGATAGAGGCATGATTTCAAATACAGAAGCTTTTAAAATAGGTTATTTGTTGTGGGGCGCCCCCCCCATATGGTACATCCCTCAACGCCCACGGGGAAAACCCCGAGCCCCACCTCTTATTTTTAGGTCCTGCTTGGTTCTCAAACTCTTCGCTTGACTTTTATTTAAGCTATTCTGGTTTTTTGGGGGTATGGTTCATGCAGTACTTTCCCTTACGTTTTCTATTGTAGTCTTTACGGGAACCTACAGAGGAGAAACAGGAACTGTTCTCTCATTTTGCAGCCTAGGAGTAATTAACCCAGGTTATCGCAGTTGGTTAGAAGCAGGCTGGGGATTGAACCCAAGGCTACTGAGCGAAGATCAGTGTTATTTTTTACAGCATCATATGCGCGTGTTCTGGTCGCACTCAAATAGAAAGAGGGCTGGCCTGTCAGTCTACATGTAGGCATTCTTGAACTGATGGTAGGAATAGACTCCATAGATCTTGGAAACTTCTGGACCAAATTAGCACTCTAATTATGGCATCTGTGCCTCGCAGGAGCGATCTGTGTCCTTGCCACCTATTTTAGTAGATGAACCAGCAACATTGACATTACCTGGTTTCTGTTAGAAATGTATAATCTCAGGCCCCACTCGAGATTTCCTAAATCAATACCTGTACTTTAACGAGACACCCCGGAGATTCGTATGTTCATCGAAGTTTGAGATGCACTAATTGAAATAGAAAAGCCTGAGCTTTTTCTCTTCGAATTTCTCATTCTAGGTAACTACGACTAAAATATCTTGCATCTTGGATTCTACCCATCTTTTAAATAAAAGGGATTCTTTAAAAAAGGACTCTTTTAAAGTGATTCAATAAAATTGTTCTAAAATCACTAAATTTAAAAAATTGAAACAAATTCTTTTCAATTCTCATGATCGTCTTCCTTTCTATGGCATTTCACATTGTTTACTTGCTGTTCTTAAAACTCTTCTCTCCTGTTGGCTTTTTAAAAAAAATTAAGGAATAATTTACGGAAATAAAATTCTCCCATTTTAAAAGCACTATTTGATGAGTTTTGACAAATATATAAACTTGAGTAACCACTACCCCAGTGAGGATACAGAACATTTCCACAGCCCCAACATTTCTTTCTGTTCCTTCCTGGTCAAGCTCCTCCAACATGGGATCTAATTTATATGACTGTTTTAGTTTTGTCTATTATAAGAATTCACATACATGGAATTAAGCAGTGTGTGTTCATTTGTGATTGGCTATTGTCATTCAGTATGTTTTTGAGATTTACAATGATGTTTTGTAACAGTGGTTTCTTTTTACTGCTTGTCTCAGTCAGTATGTGTTCCTATAAAGGAATACCCAAGGCTGGATAATTTATATAGAAAAGAGGTTTATTTGGTTCATGGTTCTGGAGGCTGTACAAGAAGCATGGTGCCAGCATCTGCTTCTGGTGATGGCCTCAGGCTGGTTCTATTCATGGTAGGAGGCAAAGGAGAGCCAGTGTGTGCAGAGATCATGTGGCCAGAGAGCAAGCAAGAGAGGGGAGGAGATTTCAAGCTCACTCTCTTTATTTTTTTATTTTTATTTTATTCCTTTGTTGTTGTTGTTGAAAAAAAAATTAGTTCCATTGGGAATTAAGAGTAGGAATTGATTCATACCCTAGAGAATGGCACCAAGCCATTCATCAGGGATCCGTAACTAAGCTCCAACTCCCTACTCCCTGCTCCCCAACCAGGCTTTACCTCCAACGCTGGGGATCAGTGGGGCATGGGGGCTCACACCTGTAATCTTAGCACTTTGGAAGGCTGAGGTGGGCTGATCATTTGTGTCTAGATGTTCAAGACCAGCCTGGGCAACATCGTGAATCCCCATCTCTACCAAAAAAACCCCACAAAAATTAGCCAGGCATGGTGGTGCATGCCTGTAGTCCCATCTACTGAGGAGGCTGAGGTGGGAGACTGGCTTGAGACCTAGAGGCGGATGTTGTGTGAGCTGAGATTGTGCCACTTCACTCTAGCCTGGGTGACAGAGTAAGACTCTGTCTCAAAAAAAAAATAAAAAAATAAAAAAAAAATAAAAGACAAAGAAGAAAAAGAAAAAGAAAAAAAGAGATGTCCACGCCCTAATTCTTGGATCTTTTCAATATGTATATGTAACATAGCAAAAGAGACTTTGTAGATATAATGAAGATTATAGACTTTAAAATAGGTTATCCTGGATTATTGGGGTGAGCCCAATCTAATTACATGAACCCTTATAACCAGAGATCTTTCTCCAAGTAAACTCAGAGAAATGTAGCAAAGAGAAAGTCGAAGTGATTGGAAGCATGAGAGGGACTTGACACACCATTGCTCTAGGAGTACACACTGGTCTCCAGCTGGTAGCCAGCAAGGAAATGGGAGCCAGAGTCCTAAAACTGCAAGGAACAGAATTCAGCCAACTGCCTACATGGATTGGGAAGCTCATTTGAACAATCTCCCAATCATGCTGTACTGGATCATGCTGTACTGGACTTTTTACCTACCGAACTGTGAGATAATAAATGGGTGTCATTTCAAACCATTAAACTTGTGTTAGTTATGCCAGCATTAAAAAACCAATAGATTGAATGTCTACATTTTTAAAGAAGGTTGAGATTTATTTTGGGAAGCTGTTACCGTAGTGGCTGATCAGCTTGCTTCTTTTGAGACTTGTTTTTAAACCTTGTGAGGGTCTACACTATCATTTTGTAATATGGATATCTTAGTCCAGTCCTTGAAGAGTGGCTTGTTGGACCCTCTTTTGTATGTCATGGGTATTTAATAAAGATTCTGCACTCTAGTTGATTAAAACTCAAATGACTCCTGTCCCTGTGAGTTTCAGCAGGTGTTCAGTTTGTAGTTCCCCAGTAATTGTTCTTTTGGTGATAGTTATTTTTTGCCCTGGCATTTAATTTTGTTGTAAAGTCTTGCCCTATACATGCACAGCTTTGTATTCAGCCCAAGACTTGAAGAGTATTCTGAAACTCTTTCTATGTATAATTTTTCCTTTCTGTCACTTTTTATTGCAAATTCCAGCCGTCTTAGACTTCCCAAACTCAAATCTTTTTCTCCCCAGCCCAACTTTGCTTGGATTTCCTTATGTGGACCATGGTCTGAAAGTATTTCCAGGTGTAAAATCAGGGTCATCATAGGTCTCCTCTCATTTGTTTCTTTTCTATTATGGATCACATGTTTGTACTGTCTGTGTTTCAGTGTCCTAGAATTCATGTTTTCTGGATGTTGGTTGTCTGCTGCCAAGTGAGATGTGCCTTTCACCTTCCACCACGATTATGAGGCCTCCCTAGCCACATGGAACTGTAAGTCCATTAGACCTCTTTCTTTTGTAAATTGCCCAGTCTCAGGTGTGTCTTTATCAGTAGTGTGAGAACAGATTAATACAGATTCCTAACTAAGCCTAAAGTCAAAGTAATGTCTGTTTTAGGCCAAGAACTAATTACAAAACTGCCATTGTATATCACTTTATAGTTTATAACACATTTTTGTACACTTCACTGAGTTACTAAATTAGAAAGAATTGTAGTTAGTTAAAGGTAAAATCCTTGACTATTTGAAGACCTAGGCTTTGAACTTGTACAGCATGTGACTGTACTGAATACTGTAGGCAATTATAAGGCAATGGTAAGTATTTGTGTATGTAGACATACTAAAGATATAGTAAAAATACTGTATAAAAGAAAAACATGGTACATCAGGCACTTATTATGAATGGATCCTGCAGGAGTAAAAGTTGCTCTTAGTGGGTCAGTGAGTAAATGTGACGGAATGTGAAGGCGTAGGACATTACTAAAAATCACTGTAGACTTTATAAATACTGTATATGTGTACTACACTGTTTATTTTATAAATTTTTCTTTCATCAATACTTAACTTACTATACATTTTTTACTGAATAAACTTTACTTTTTAAAATATTTTGACTATTTTATAATAACAGCTATATTAGTCCGTTTTCACACTACTCTAAAGAACTACCTGCGACTGGATAATTAAGAAAAGAGGTTTAATTGACTCACAGTTCCACAGGCTGCACAGGAAGCATGGATAGGACAGGAGGCCTTAGGAAACTTACAACCATGGCGGAAAGCAAAGGGGAAGAAAGCGCGTCTTACCATGATGGAGAAGGAGAGAGAGACAGAGCAAAGGAGGAAGTGCCACACACTTTCAAACAACCAGATCTTGTGAGAACTCACTCACTGTAATGAGAACAGCAAGGGAAAAGTCTACCCTCATGATTCAATCACTTCCCACCAGACCCCTCCCTGACATGTGAAGATGACAATTCAAGATGAAATTTGTGTGGGGACGCAGAGCCAAACCATACCATTCTACCCTGGCCCCTCCCAAATCTCATCTCCTTTTCACATCTAAAATCACAAGCATGCCTTCCCAACAGTCCCCCAAAGTCTTAACTCATTCCAGCATTAATTCAAAAGCCCAAGTCCAAAGTTTCATCTGAGACAAGTCCTTTCTTCCTTTGAGCCTGTAAAATCAAAAGCAAGTTAGTTTCTTCCAACATACAATGCGTATACAGACTTTGGGTAAATATTCCCATTCCAAAAGGGAGAACTTGGCCAAAATAAAGGGGTTACAGGCCCCATGCAAGTCTGAAATCCAGCAGTGCAGCCATTACATCTTAAAGTTCCAAAATAATCTCCTTTGACTCCGTCCCTCACATCCAGGGCACGCTGATGCGAGGGGTTGGCCCCCAAGGTCTTGGGCAGCTCTGCCTATGTGGCTCTGCGAGGTGCAGCCCCTGAGGCTGATTTCATGAGCTGACTTTGAGTGCCTATGGCTTTTCCAGGTGCGAGGTGAAAGCTGTCAGTGGATCTACCATTCTGGGGTCTGGAGAACAGTGGCCATCCTCTCACAACTCCACTAGGCAGTATCACAGAGGGAACGCTGTGTGGGGGCTCCAACCCCACATTTCCCATCTACACTGCCCTAGTAGGGATTCTCCATGAGGGAAACCAACAATGTCTGTTAGAGAGATCACATAATGTTTTTTTCTGAAAATCATTGCATTACCTCTGCAATTGTGAAAATTTTTCTCACTTATCATTTAAAGTCCAATTCAAATGAATGTCTGCTACAAAAATATCTCAAATCCTTTTACTTTCCTGAATTCCAACAATGCTTGCTCATACCACTACTATTTTTAGTATGTTTTTCTGACATGGTCCCATTTTTAAAAGAAAGGATTTAGTATATTCGATATATCCATCCACCCATCTCTCACCTATTTGTTTCTCCTCCTATGTTACCTAATTCTCTCCAATTAGAGAGGTGCTTTTTCCATTTAGCCAGGAAGATTGGCATATGTAGCCCCAGGCTCAAAGCCTTCTGGTACCATGATCCTGAAGGTACTGGAAATTCAAGATGGTGTGACTGATTGATTGAATTATTATTTCCACTTCTTCACCCCCCTTACTCTCACATGTGACTTTATAGTTCACTGTAGTGAGCAGAATATATTTCCCCATCCCAATGAGATATTAATGAACATGACAATGAGAAGAGACCTTAAATGTGCCTGCGTGCCTTAGCTTGGCTTCTTTATCTCTATCATATGTCACAAGAAGACCTTCATCCAAGTATTTGCTAGTCCAAGAAAGATGAGAGATGTAGAGATCAAACAGATTGAAGGGTCCAACTTGCAGCCTAATGCTGGGTTGCCCCAGCTGACCTATAGGTCCATGACGTTTGGTATTAAAGTACTGATATGGTTTGGCACTATGTCCCCACCCAAATCTCATGTTGAATTCTAATCCCCAATGTTGGGGAGGTGATTAGATCATAGGGGTGGATTTCCCCCTTGCTGTTCTCATGATAGTGAGTTCTCATGATATATGGTTGGTTGAAAGTTTGTAGCATTTTCGCCTTTGCACTCTCTCTCTCCTGTCACTATGTGAAGATGTACTTGCTTCCCCTATACCTTCCACCATGATTGTAAGTTTCTTGTGGCCTCTCCAGCCATGCTTCCTACACAGCCTGTGGTTCTGTGAGTCAATTAAACATCTTTTCTTTATAAACTACACAGTCTCAGGTAGTTTTTAATAGCAATGTGAGAACAGATTAATACAAGTACTCAGTTGTGGGTTGTTCAGTTATGCAACATTTTGCAGTGATAGCTGATTAATACAGCGGGATTCTGAATGACCAAATGTGATTCATATGCTTGTCTCTGAATCAATCACAATAGCTAGTACTTTAATTGGCCAGGCTGTATTACATTTCCAGCTCTTCCTCCATTCCCAGGTAATTGAAGTTGGCTCAGGGGTGGGGATATAGGAATTAAAATTTGATCTCAAGATATGAAAGACAAGTTTCCCAAAAGGAAAGTGGTTGCTTTTACCAGAGGAAGGGAATTGGTTTGAAACCTATTAAACAGGAAGAATCTATCTGTCATAATCTAGTCTGGTACTCTTTCTACATCATTATTTATTGCTAAATTTTAAGCTGAATTGTATGCAGAAACTCTGCCTTACTCATCTTGTATTTAACACTTACAAATTATAATATAATTTGTGTTTGAATCCAGTAGGATTAAGTTTCACTGCAAGTAATATAAAAATCCCCAAGTAACAGTGACATAAAAAGTTGGAGATGGACAGACATGCTGGCTCATGCCTGTAATCCCAGCTCTTTGGAAGACTGAGGCAGGAGGGTCACTTGAGCCCAAGAATTCATGACCAGCCTGGGCAACATGGTGAAACCCCATCTCTACAAAAAAATACCAAAAAAATTAGCCGGATGTGGTGGTGCAGGCCTGTAGTACCAGCTACTCAGGAGGCTGAGGTGGGAGGATTGCTTGAGTATGGGAGGTCAAGGCTGCAGTTAGCTGGGATCGTGCCACTGAACTCTAGACTGGGCAACAGAGTAAGACTTTGTCTCAAAAAAAAAAAAAAAGAAAAAAGGTTGGACTTTATTTTTTTCTCTTATGTTGAAGTCTAGAATTGAGCAGCTAGGGTGAGTGTGATGGCTCTCATCTTCAAAGTTCTTAGGCATGCATTTTGCTTTCTTTTTTTTTTTTTTTTTTTTTTTTACCATGAGAGAGGGTTGCTCTGTCATCCAGGCTTGAGTTCAGTAGTGTAATCTTGATTTACTGCAATCTCTATCTCCTGGACTTAAGCTGAGGTGGGGACTTGGGGACCACATCTTTCTTCCAGATGACCATATGGCCAGCTAAAAGTCAGGGTTTCTAAAAGAGGGAGCATAGATATTGCAGTTTACAGCAGGCAATCTCTACTGCAGTGCTCAATATTTATTAAATGAATGAATCACATTAAAAATTAAAATTGATTAATAAACACTGACAATTAAATTTTTAATCTTAGATGAAATGCTGGATTAAAGAATATATTTGATGCTGGGCACGTTGGCTCACACTTGTAATCCCAACACTTTGGGAGGCCAAGCCAGGTGGATCACTAGGTCAGGAGATGGAGACCATCCTGGCCAACATGGTGAAACCCCATGTCTATTAAAATACAAAAAATTAGCTGGGTGTGGTGGCATGCCCCTGTAGTCCTAGATACTTGGGAGGCTGAAGCAGAGGAATCTCTTGAACCTGGGAGGTGGAGGCTGCAGTGAGCCGAGATCATGCCACTGTACTCCAGCCTGGTGACAGAACAAGACTCTGTCTCAAACATAATAATAATGATAATAATTTGTTTAAAAATTATTTTTGATTTCCACTGAAATTGAATAATTTGTCAGGCTTATTTCAGTTTTATTCATCCATTTTCTAAAAGTGTGATCCTTGTGAGATTCTACACAGGGAGTCTAGTGCTGGTCTTTTGGAATCTTTAACCCTGAAGAAAATATCACTCTTAAAATTATGGCTCCTCTTAAGCTTAGACAAGCATCCCTCTGAAAGTTTGAGATACAGATATTTGCATTAAAGGGATTTATTACCTATAGTTTTAGTAATGCCGACATTATGGGTAAGCTGTCTGCTGATCCATTGTCTTGTTTTGCAAGCAGAACAAAGCAAACCTATTTCTAGTCTGTGGATAAATTCTGTGTTGGCATTTCTGGGAGAAGATTGGGAGTTAACTACCAAGCTATTGATTTTTTTTTTCTGCTGTGAGCCAAATCCAGTCTTCAGTAATGTGCACAGTCCCCCCTGTGAAATTCAAGGTGATAAAAGGAAAGTTTAGTATTGATGTCTGAAGTTAGAAAAGTCTGTTTCATAATTTACCAGAGGTTTATTTTTATATTCCCTTGTATAAGTATCAGGCTTTGGGTATAGAATACTCAAGCTAGAAATTAAAATCCAGACATGTTTCTGAGTTTA